CGCCGCTCCTTGCTTCTCCTTCAGGTCCTGTTTGCTCTGGAGGTTGGGAGCGGAGGAGGGAGGTGAGGGAGTTCGTTCCCTTCTCCTCTTCCCGGATGGAACTCGGATCCCTTGGGCTGCCGCCAAGGCGCCGTGCCCCGCACCGCAGCCCCGAGGCCGTTGCCCTGCTCCGCGCCCAGCAGCCTGGGCTCCCAGGGAGCCCCTCGTGCGGGTCGTCCCCCCTTTATAGGGGGCGGGGGGGTCCCGCATGACGCCCCGTAGTGCGGGCTGAGCAGATCGGGGCTGCGATGCGACCCCCGGCTCTGCTTTCCCCCCCTGCGCGGCCCGAGATCGGCCCCCCCGGGAGCGAGGCGGGACGCTGCAGCTTTTCCGACCCTCCCCGTTTTCCCTCTGTCTCCGCTGTTCGGTTTGTTTTTTTTTTTTTTTTATTCCGTTTGGGTGTTTTTTGTTTTCTGTTTTGCTTTGAGGAAGCTCCTCCATCGCATTTAAATAACGAATCGTGGTAACAGAACTCAGCTGCTGATCTACCGATGTATTTAATGTAAGTAAAGAGAAAAAGAAGGAAAAAAAAAAAAAGGGGAAAAAAAGAAAAAAAAAAACCCTCAATAAATAAAGAGAAACAGCCCCGTCGAATGGGGGGGGGGGGGGGGGGGGGGGAGGGGGGCTGGAGCCGTGCCCGTATCCGGCTGCGCCCCGATAACGCTTATCGCCACGGCGGGCGGCGGCGCGTCCCGCCCCGGGTTCACGCGTGCGGGATTTTGGCCCGCGGCCCCTTTAACGCTCGCCCCCAACGCCGTGGGGGGGAAGGGGAGGGGGAGGGGGCGTGGCCCCAGCCGTCTGTCCCCGCCCCTTCGCCCCTCCGTTAAAGCCTTCGGCCCCGCGCAACGCCGCGGTTGCCACGCAGGTGCGCAGCGGGGGGGGAGCGGAAAATCCGCTACCAGGGGAGGGGGGGTGTGGCGTCGTGGGCCCCCCCGCTCCGCTCTGAGCGTTGCCTCCAGCAGGTCCCGCCGCGATGCTGCTGCTCCGCGTTGTCCCCCGGCGCAGGTAGGAACCCCCCCCCCCCCGCCCGCAACACGCTCAGAGTTACCCCCGGTGCCACCCCCCGAGGGGACCCCGGCTCCCCTCCGCTCCCGGGCACCGCTCAGCGCCGCTCTCTCCGCAGAGTCCGTTTGCCCCTCCCGCCGCTCGCTCCGCACCGCGGCTCCTCCCGGACGGACATCGTCCCCGGCGGTCCGGGCCCGGGGGGGGGCGGCGGCGGGCGAGTGGTCCCGGTGCTGGCGGCGCTGCTCGGCCTCGGCGCGGCGCTGAGCTATGGAGAACGGCGGCGGAGGGTGAGCGCGCACCGGGTGGGGAGAGGAGGGGGGGGCACCGGGAAGGAGGTGGGTCCGGGTTATCCCCGCTGACGAGGCCGAGGCCCCCCCCTCTTCCTCCTCCCCCCCCAGGCCGCTCACGCCGCCGCCGCCGCCCCGTCGTACCCCCGGTACACACGGGAGGAGGTGGGGCGGCACCGGAGCCCCGAGGAGCGCGTCTGGGTGACCCACGGCACCGACGTGTTCGACGTCACCGACTTCGTGGAGCTGCACCCGGGGGGACCCGACAAAATCCTGCTGGCGGCCGGTGGGGCCCTGGAGCCCTTCTGGGCACTGTATGCGGTGCACGGAGAACCGCACGTCCTGGAGCTGCTGCAGCAGTACAAGGTGGGCGAGCTCAGCCCCGACGAGGCACCGCCGGCCCCCGACGCCCAGGACCCCTTCGCCGGGGACCCCGCCCGGCACCCCGGGCTGCGGGTCAACAGCCAGAAGCCCTTCAACGCGGAACCGCCGGCCGAGCTGCTGGCCGAGCGCTTCCTGACGCCCAACGAGCTTTTCTTCACCCGCAACCACCTCCCGGTACCGGTGGTGGAGCCCAGCTCCTACCGGCTGCGGGTGGATGGTCCCGGCGGCCGCACGCTGTCGCTGTCTCTGGACGAGCTGCGGAGCCGCTTCCCCAAACACGAAGTGACGGCGACCCTGCAGTGCGCCGGGAACCGCCGCGCCGAGATGAGCCGCGTGCGGCCCGTCAAAGGGCTGCCGTGGGACATCGGCGCCATCGGCACGGCGCGGTGGGGCGGAGCGAGGCTGCGGGACGTCCTGCTGCACGCCGGCTTCCCCGAGGAGCGCCAGGGCGAGTGGCACGTCTGCTTCGAAGGCTTGGACGCCGACCCCGGGGGGGCTCCGTACGGAGCGTCCATCCCCTACGGCCGCGCGCTCAGCCCCGCCGCTGACGTGCTGCTGGCTTACGAGATGAACGGCGCCGAGCTGCCCCGCGACCACGGCTTCCCGCTCCGCGTCGTGGTGCCCGGCGTGGTGGGCGCGCGCAGCGTCAAATGGCTGCGACGCGTGGCCGTGAGCCCGGCCGAGAGCCCCAGCCACTGGCAGCAGAACGACTACAAGGGCTTCTCCCCCTGCGTGGATTGGGACACGGTGGATTACCGCACGGCGCCCGCCATCCAGGAGCTGCCGGTGCAATCGGCCGTCACTCAGCCGCGGCCCGGAGCCGCGGTGCCGCCGGGGGAGCTGACGGTGAAGGGTTACGCGTGGAGCGGCGGGGGGCGCGAGGTGGTGCGCGTGGACGTGTCGCTGGACGGCGGGCGCACGTGGAACGTGGCGCGGCTGGCGGGAGAAAAGGCCCCGCTGGGCCGGGCGTGGGCATGGGCGCTGTGGGAGCTGACGGTGCCGGTGGCGGCGGGGACGGAGCTGGAGATCGTCTGCAAAGCGGTGGACAGCAGCTACAACGTGCAGCCCGACAGCGTGGCGCCCATCTGGAACCTGCGCGGGGTGCTGAGCACCGCGTGGCACCGCGTCCGTGTGTCTGTGCAGGACTGACGGCCGCCCCCACGGCTCTGTCGCCCCGCGGCAATGTCATCCCGCAGCATTGTCACCCCCACGGCTCTGTCGCCCCGTGGCCCGCCCTGGATGCGGCCGTGCCGCTGCTGGCACGAAGGTCGCTGCTTTACGGCCCCTGAAAGTGAGAGGTGTGAATGCGGCTCCATAAAGATTGCGCAGCTTTTATGGACTCGATGCTTCCTGGGGCAGCGCCGGGGCAGCTCAGGCTGCGGTGGTGTCAGGGATCCCCGCGGCTGCGGGGCGCTTCTATGGGATTCCCCGTGGGAACCCGCGGGACCCCACATCGCCCCCTATGACCCCCAGTGACCCCACATCGCCCTCCATCCCTACGGGACTCTCCGTGTCCCCACGTGACCCTGTGACCCCGCGGGACCCTCAGCGTCCCCCTGAGCCCCTCGTTGTCCCCACGTCGCCCCCCGCTCCCACAGGACCCCCCGCACCTCTCGGAGCCCCCCAGCGGGACCCTCCGTATCCCCCGGGCTCCTCAGTGTCCCCTCATTCCCCCGCTCTGTCCCTCCGTACCCC